CTCCGAGGAAAGAACAGCCGCTATTTCCTGATTATTTCTAATAAAATAATAAATTTTCAAATTAGAAATATACTATATTTAATTATTTTTCTTGTAATATCTAAGTTATAAATATATATGTTAAACAATTTATTATATCAAGAATAAGAGATAATAAATATACTTCGTCATTAGTTGAAGAGTTGTCTTCAAGTCATTAATTTCGGTAGTCAGTTCAGTATTTTTCTCCTGGGTTGCCATTAATTTATCGTTTAATTGCTTCATTTGTCGCCACACCCGTATATATTCTACATGTTCCGCTACTTTCTCTTTTCGATTATTGGTTAAATATGCCAGTTCTTTCTCCAATTCTATTATACGACTTGTCATGTCTTTCTTCTGCGCCTCCAATTTCTACGAATAAAAGTTGGACGCTAAGTAAGAATTATGTAATATTAATAACGAGCAAGTGTGTATGTTCTCGTAAAGGTATGCTTCGTTCGAATATCAAATCATGCAAAGGAACTCATGCAATAACACTTTACATATTTTATGCTATTTACATTATTCCGCAAATTCGTTTTATTCTATATACGCGAAATATGACATTGATTGTGCCATACAAATGAAGTAGATGAGATAATATGAAGTTAACTATAGTGCAAATATCGAGTTTATTCGAACTAATTTTACCTCGATTTTAACGAAGTAATTTCGCATCCCGTCATCATCCCCTGCCCCGACGATGCACTGACAGCATGGCGTTCTCACGCGATTATTCTCGCTTCGACACGTCCTAAAGAGAGCCGATTCAGTATTTCAATGCCGCGACATAATGAATCATACAATAGTATATACATATACCTAGTACATATACTTACACAATCCCGGAAGACGATGGTCTAACGCGATTACGGCTGCGCGACGACGACCTGCCGCTCATCGTGTGACTCAACAATTGATTCCTCATCACAGTGATTTTCTCTTTCAGCTAAAATAGAATATTTCGAAATATTTATTTTTTTTTAATTTATAATTTATAATCATACAGATTACATATAATATAATCCTTAGTGTTAATTTCGTTTTTTAAAGAGAGAGTATCATGATATAACTTAATAATATTATGAACAATTTAATAATCTACTGTATAAAAATAATATACAATAGAATATTTACATTATTTTTTTGAGTAGAAGATCCAATTAAGTAGAATCCAATTATTAATTTACCTTGGTATTTTCAAGCTCGAGAGCAGCCATTCTATTCCTATCATTGACGATATCTAATGTTAATCCACACAATCTTGGACTACCAGCCAGTCTAATCAGCTTCGTTCCGAGCCGCTTGATCTTATCCTCTTGACAGTTGGATAATTTCTTCAGATTGCTCATTTCATCAAGTAAACGTAGATACTTATCCTCCAGTTGATAGCGATCGAGTTTGCAAACGAGATGACGTTCTCTAGGATCTTCCAATATTCAAAATGTTATTCACGCATTTCACTTTGCATATCATGACATGCAATAATAAAAAAATAGTATATATAATAGATTTGTATAACAATATTGATTTCAATTTTGGAACATGACGTAGGAAGAAATTTATGTTTGCGCGCGCTGTATAGAAAATAAGGCTGCAAATCAGAGGAATATCGAACATAGCTGGCTGTAAATTATTCAACTGGAATTATTATATATACAATACAAATGGATACGAACCTATAGCACTGATAACCGTGTCCACGCAGGAGCCTTCCTTTACAGGCAAGATGTCACGATTCGGATCATCTGCCATTTTCAATCGGAATTCCGACGTCTTATAGTAGATCAAACGAAAAATATCGTCTACAATTTTGAGACGACGTTGTTTAGCATGCGGATATCAGCGGATACTGAAAATTCAAATGCAGCGTGGAATTAGCGTTATTCGTTCGCGAGATGTTGCGAGCGCATTAAAAGGATTTAATTTGAAGAGAGACAAGGAACATATAGGAACAATTCTTCTAGATCATCATTGCCTCTTATGATCCAAATTACATTTATAAAATACCTTTCGCGCTGTCTTCGCCGAAATAACGATTTTTTCTCCAATCATTTGCACAAGAGTAATTAAACATGTCCATCGATTTTGTTCCATTACCGATTTGTGAACGAGAAAATTCGAGTGATCGATAACACTCTGTGATTCTACGCTAACTTCAGTCTATAATAAACGATCATTTATCATAGTATAAAGTGTTATTTACATTGCTATTATGTGATTTTTTTCATGCGAAGATTTTGACAAAAATATATCGAGTGGCATTTGCAAACTTATTAATTACATCAATGTTATAATTTTTTTAGTTAACTTAGCAAACGAGAATGGATTGAAATGAATTGAAATAGATTCAGATTTTCAGAAATATTGATTTACGAATGTTAAAATAAATGCTTTTCAATCCTGAATGCATTTTATTCATTTATAGAAATTACATGAAGTATAGCTCTATGCCTTTCAATCTAAAAATAATATTAGCTTTTTCTATGCATTGTGAATTCAAAATTTTGAATAGGAAAAGAAGTTTTTTAATCCAATTGCATCCAATTAAATCCAAAAAAAGTATTCGCTATTTAAAATACGCATTCGGATAGAAAATAATTTCAATTCATTTTAATCCATTCTTGTTTGCTGGGTATATTATTATAATAATATGTATATACATATAACGTTAATATTACTTTTATAAATAACGTAACAACATATTACTTTTATCATTTCGTCTTCCGTGTCCATAAACGAGAAGACATAACCCAGCAAATGAGAATAAATTAAAATGGATTGAATTTTTTTTCTATCCGAATGCATATTTTAAATAACGAATACTTTTTTGGATTTAATTGGATTCAATTGGATTCGATTAGATTCAATTGAATGCAATTGAATGGAAAAATTGCATTTCCTATTCAAAATTTTGAATTGAACAATATTCACAATTGTGCATAGAAAAAGCTAATATTATTTTTAAATTGAAACGCATAGAGATATGCTTCATACAATTGCTATAAATGAATAAAAATGCACTCAGGATTGAAAAGCATTCATTTTAACATTCGTGAATCAATATTTCTGAAAATCTGAATCCATTTCAATTCATTTCAATCTATTTTCGTTTGCTGGGAAGCAATTTTTATTTGAGAACTAAAATATTATATATTGCTGGGTATACGCGAGCGACAATAATTATTGCTCGTTATCACTTCTGCTGCCAGATTTGAGATAAACGCTATACACTATCTGCCAGAATCATGTTTCGCTCGTCTCCGCATGCGAAGGACTGTTCCGAGGGTGTGATTCATTCTCATTCGATATGAATCATATCTGTACATAGAACTTTTAAAGTAGCGGAAAAAAAAAATAACAGAAGAAGAATTCAGTTTTACGAAGAAAAAGATGGAAAAGATCACGCAGTTTCTGATAATTATATTTAAGACTTGATTTCTTTCTTTTTCTTCTTTCTTCTTTTTTTAAAGGAAAACTAACGTGTCTTACGTGGAGTGAATTGGCGCCACCCGGTATATCAGCACCATCATCACCGCTGTGAGCCAGTGCGAGCGGCGCCACGGGACGCGAACTACGAAGCGGAGCCACGATTCGGAGGAGAGACCAAGCACAACCTGAATCCGTCCGTAACCACCGCACCGTACCCTCGCTTTTGACATCGGCGGCGGTGGTGTTGGCGGTGGTGGTGGTGGTGGTGGTGGTGGTGGTGGTGGTAGTGGTGGTGGTGGTAGTGGTGGTGGTAGTGGTAGTGGTGGTGGTGATAGTGGTGGTGGTGGTGGTGGTGGTGGTGGTGGTAGTGGTGGTGGTGGTGGTGGCGGTGGCGGCGGCGGCGGCGGCGAAGTGTGCGTGCCAGTGGGAAAGGTAAGATGGCGGCGGATGGAGATGCGGTGATTCCGGACCAGGAAAAAGTGCGAATAGTCTCGGATTTTATATTGCACTCGCCGCCGGGCGAGTTCAACGAGGTGTTCAACGACGTGAGGGTCCTGCTGAACAATGACAACCTGTTGAAGGAAGGCGCGTCTGGAGCCTTCGCTCAGTATAACAAGGACCAGCTCACGCCTGTTAAGGTATATCATCATCGTCATCATCATCATTATAGGCGGCCGCCGACGGTACCGCGTACGCTGACCCTGTACTTCTCCCACGCAACCTTCCTCTAACTTGCGGCATACGCGGCTCGTACTCTCTTGGCGCCCTTTTGCGCGTTTACCCCCTTTTCCTTTTAAGTGTATGTATCGATTCCGAAAGCCCGCGAGGCGCGACCACAGTGACCTTAAACACTTTGTCTCTACCTATCTCGCGTTATCGGGACCTTTTGGGACTCCTTGCGCGGATGACGTTTGCTCCAGGTGACGATCACCGTCACGTGACATCTCCGCGGCTCTCGCACGACCGGCTCGAACACCCGACCCCCCTCCCCCCTCACGCCAGGTTATGGAAATTTTGCTATAGCTAGACAACAGGAACATCATATCGCTATTTAATCTCCGAATGTACAAACGAAGACTATTTCCTTTCTCCTAGATCGCTACGTGTCTATATTTTGGAAACTATTGTAAATTCAGCTGAGGTTAGGCACTGCAAGTACAATGCCAGTGGCAATGCCATAATGTCTTTTATTCGTTTTTTCTCTACTGCAAATAACTTATTTTGCAATATAAAAAAATCAAGGTTTATATCTTTTTCTGTAAAATAATAAATCCGAGAAAAATCTGTAAAATAAAAAATCCGTGCAAAAATATACATATGTAGATTGTGATATATTAATTAGCATAAGGGAAAATAAGCATGTAAAAAAAAGTAAAATACTAAAACTGTCTTTTCTATCACGTACAGATAGAAGGAAGTGACCATCCAGCGCTCATAACAGAACACAATGACTTGGGTTCTCAGAGGTTTTATGATGCGCGGAGTAAGCAAAGTTTTAAATATGATCACCTGAGAAAGGAAGCACAAGATTATGAATCTTACGAACCAGATCCCTTAGCGGAACCTTGGAGGTCAGCCCTTCAAGAAGAGATAACGAATTATACTCAAAGTCATTACAGACATGGCGCTTGTTCAGTTTTTGGAAAATCCCTTGGAGGTAATTGTTATTTCAATCAATTGACTTTAAACAAATCAGAGTAACATCATGAGTAACAATTGTTTTTTTAATGCAGGAAACATAACGCTAACGGCATGCATAGAAGATCATCAGTTTCAACCTAAAAATTTCTGGAACGGCCGCTGGCGTTCAGTGTGGACCGTCAGTTTCACTCCAAGTTCGGGTAACGCTGAACTGAGAGGTAGTCTCAAAGTACAAGTACATTATTATGAGGATGGAAATGTACAATTGGTCAGTAGCAAAGACGTGAAGGAGAGCCTGGCGATCTCCAATGAGAAGCAAACGGCGAAGGATTTGATACGGTTTGTCGAGGAATCTGAAAACGATTATCAAACGGCAATTTCCGAGAACTATCAAACAATGTCCGACACCACCTTTAAAGCACTGCGAAGGCAATTACCAGTAATGCGAACAAAAATTGACTGGAACAAAATTGTGTCCTACAGTATTGGCAAAGAGCTTAAAAGTCAATAGAAATAAATTTTTTTATATTAAAAGAAATAATTAAAAAAAAGCGCATTTTGCTGCATGAGTGAAGTCTGGAGGTGTGATGTGCATGGGAGCAAATTACACTATTAAATAACGTTTGACTAGAGATATTCGACTCATGCATGCCACTCAAGGTTCCTCTTGACTCCATATTGTATGTTGTTACAAGAAGCAATAAAACAAGAAGATCAACATTTTTGGCGTTGTCAATTGTATCAAAAAATTAATTAAAAGCATAATTTTTTTAAATCTACATGAATTGTTCATAAAATAATGTAATGTTAAATGACTTGATAAACATTATTTTTACAAATATAATTCTTGTAAAATCGAAAATCAATATCCGACGACGGAACCTTTGTATAAATCACGCTGTTTTTTTTTTTTTTTCGTTTTGACTAACCATCTTTCTTAAAATAACATCCGTGATATTCGCATTGTGCAGCATAGTGCAAGATATAATCTTTGGACATAAAAGCGATAATAAGTATCAAAGATAAAAGATCTATACACTATTTATAATGGGGTAATGGGGATCCTTGTTTTTATGTTAAGTGATTGAACTGAAGTTGAATTCGATGTGTTGAATAGCTTGAGATTGTGGGACACCGATAGCGAAAATAAATTTAAACTATAATCATGTAGTTATGATGATAATGAGCAGATAAAGGCAGATTTTCAACTGATAAAATTTATCAATTTCTGCAAACTTTATCAAGAATATAGTAACATCAGTGATATCTTATAATTATTTATATTTTTACTTTTAATAACACTCTCTTTGGAAAATATTATATCTTATATATTATTATAATAAGAGAAATTAATAACAATGTTATTCACTGAAGTTATTATTTATTGAAAATCTTGTCATTACGTTTACATTGATCTGCTCTAGCACAATTTATCTATCACTTGATGGTTCACCCTGACTCAAAGCAAAATAATTTGAACTATTTTATTACAGACCGTCTATCTGATACTTGAATGCTAAAAAATAAAATATACTGTTTACGTTTTATGATATGAATATAATTGTGAAACACGATTAAAATCTGTATGAAAAATGCTACATGATACAAAAAAGGTTTTCGGATGTGACGATGTGAAAGTAGCGAAATTGATAGTTTACGTATAAGGAAGATCTTTAGACTGATTCTAATTTTTTTTAAAAAGAAGACAAATCTATAACACTTAAGTCTTAGATCACTCAAAGCGACTCGATGACACATCTCGTGTATTTAAAAATTCGGTTTAAAGAA